AGAACACGGTGGCGGCGTGGAACACGAATAATAAATTTTTAATATAATATATAGAAATTAAGGTAACATTATATTAAAAATGGCAAGCCAATAATAAATCTAAAGGCATGAATAACTTGTTTAGCTTATAACATAAAGATGTTTAGTACAAAAATGGTCTAGTTTCAACCATAAGAATATAAGAAAAAAAATATTAGTAAAACATGAAATTCCAACTACTCAATAAGAGGGAATGAATAGAATAGATTCAGAGGTTGGTCTTTTGGCCTTTTTTGGCCTCAATATGATCATCGATTGAATATCATTGCTTTCCAACTCTAAGTTCATTTAGGAAAAGATTTGCAACCTCCAATGAATCTCATATCATCAAGCACATCGAACCCATCTTCAGCATACACCCACATCTTGTTATCACCTGTCATATAAAGTGAGGGTTTTCTTGATGAGAAGACGAAGATTTCTATATCACAAAACTAAATTTTAGGCCCGTATGGAGTTGATTTTTATTCCCTCTTCATTGATTGAATAAAATGAGTATGTGCTTTAATTTCTCTCACAACAAGATGAGGATTGATACTTGTCCAGGAAGTATTTTATTAATGTGGTTTGAAGAAGCGTGTGTTGAAGCTCCATGAATCAACACCTTATTTTTGGATCCATCCTCCATCTATTAACCAAAGAATTCTTGTCAACAAAAATTCTCTAAATAATCTAAATTTTTTTGCAAGTTTTATATTAATTTTTCTTCTCGCCTCATTTGGAAAATATCAATTTTAAGCATATTCTTTCTCATATTTGCACTTCTAAATCTTTTTGTGGGAGACAATCGTTGAGGGTCTTCTTGAAACTTTTTTTTTTACTTGAATTACCTTCAAATAATAACAAAGTATATAAATTATTTCATCATTTACCAGGAAGTTTAAAAATTAAATTTAAAAGCTGAATACAAATGTACCTTAGATTTAATGAATGGGCAAACAATGCAGAGCCGTGTTACTTTGGTCCATCCTTCCTCAAGAATGGTATAGACAATCCTCTAAAATTTGAGTCTTCATTATGTGATTTTCTTTTATGTCTGTATATGAAATTCTTTCAACCTTTTGTTAATATGAGTCCACACTCATGAAAAATCAAAATGTAGGCATGATTTATCTGTGTCGAGCCTCTCTCAACATGTCAAAATAATCAGATCAAATGAAAGTCAAAATTAATCTACATTATCCACAATAAATATTCTAAGATCTTTTCCTTTAATATATCTTGGCCTTCCTAATATTATCTTTTCGATAGCAGATCACTTCCTCACTAATCACCAATAGTTTTAAGAGCATTTTTTATTATTTGAATCTTTTCTCAAAACATGATTATTATAGAGTGTAAAATAAGTTATTCAACAACAACTAACATCTTAAATTGTGAGAAATCTTTAACAATGAAAGTCTTTTTGGTGGTTATAATGAAATTTCTGATCAAACAGCATTATCTGGCAAACACACTGTATCAATGACCATTCAACATATATGAACATTTTTTGTAGGTTCCACCACAATAAATTGTATTTTGAATGAACCCACATTACCTCTAACAAATTTTTACTTCTTTGTAGAATGAATTCAATAATGGCTTATCACGTTTTCTATGATGGCTCTTGAACCACTCCCATCAAACACTAGAGCTCATTTTGCTTTTAAAATTCACTGGTGTAGTAGAAGAATAAGGCTTAATATTGTGTGGCATATTATAAAATAATTAAAAAATGTTAAACAAAAGTTAAAAAAATAATTAAAAAATTTATTGTATCATGAGTAATGACGTATCTAACAGGAAAAAAAACCAATTAAAAATTTGGCAGTTATGCTGGGGTCTAAGGGGGCCGCTTCCCCTTGGCGGTAGGGTTGTAAGCACCACACATATCAACCGAGCTAATTGTTTTCGGTTCGATTTAAAGATTGTTTTGTGATTCGTTTAACTTTAGCCAACACAAACAAGACTTGAACAATATTTTTAAATACTCGATCTTAATAAACAAACTTGAACCGACTAATGCGTTCCGGGCTCATTTATGTTTCGTGAACAACATCATTGAAGTTCGTGAACAAGTGCTCGACCATTAGGCTCGATAGATAAGCTCGATTGGGCGTGTTCGATTTTGAACTCGTGAATAAGTTAAGATAAAAAATTAATATTTGACTAGAAATTAATAAATATAAATAATCATTGCCCTTGTTACAATAGATAATTACTTTTATTATAAAATGTGTTTGTTCATAGATATGTTTCATGGAACAATATTTGTTTGATAATAAAAAAAATTCGTTAAAAATAATGTGTTGCGAACGAAGCTCGATAAGCAATCAGTGGAACGAACATGAACTGAACATGAACAAACAATGAATACTCATTATTTAAATGAAGCCAAATATGAACACCATAACAATAAGGCTCCGAGACGAACATGACAAACTTGAACAAGCTAATATTAAATGAACACAAACATGAACGCTCACGATACTCGGCTTTTGCTCGTTTACGTTTTGCAGCCTACTTGGCAGGGGTTTCGACCAGCTGGTCAGGGTCACGAGGTCAAGGAGCAGTGCCCCTGCAGGGTTTCTGGTGGCAGCTCGCCCTGATCAAAATTTTTTGTGCAGTGAAAGCTCAGCAAAAGAGCATTATAAAGCGTATCAAATAAGCACAATAAAAGCGCAAGAAAAAGTACAGTTAAAGCTCAACAAAAGCGCAATTAAAGCTCAACAAAAGTGTAGTTAAAGCATAATAAATAAATAAATTTTATTGTAAGAATAATTTTAACCAAAACAAATAAAATCTTTAAAAGAAATGCTCTTCTAACACAAATCTACAAAAATCATTGATAAATAAAGACGAAATGAACGAATGGAAAAAAATGACGATATCAACTACGAGGTTTGAAAAGTTTTTTGCGGTTTAACGTCAGCTATCCCTCGGCTGTGCCCAGAAACTAAGGAGGATTGCTTGTTGGCTATTGCATATGAGCCAGCAAAGGTGAAGACCAAGGGTGTGTCTCAACACAGCCGACCGTATTTCTCGGCTTGCGATCGGCCTCGCAAAACAACGAATTATCGACTAAAGGAAATAAACAGGATTTAAGGTGAGAAGATTTGATAGATTGGGCGTTGAACCGGCTAATATGAGAATAAGTCCAATGTTCGAGTCTATGTGTATGCGTTGTGTGTGAGTTTGCCTTTATTGGCCTAAATGTCCCAAAAAAAAAAATCCACAGGGGAAGCTGGAATAGTAACGGATTGCTCCGCTGAGGGCATCCGCTCCACTTTCGGCATAGGCTCTGCTTCCGAAGCTAGTGTTTCCTCCTCCGCTACTGCCCTGACTATTATTTTTAAAGAATTCCTCTTTTGTAGAGACCGAGAACGGGGTAACCCACAGTTCCAAGGATTTTGCTGAGAATGGAGATAACGAGAGCACTTTTTGTTCTTTTGTTACTATTATTTTTTTGCATTAGTTTTTTTTATTATTAAAAATAAATCATGCTACAAATTTTATATCTATTTAAATATTTAATTAATATTTAAATATCTTAGACATTTCCCCATCTCTATTAGAAAATCATTAAGGTCACATTGCTTTTCAACATTTCATTTTCTTGAAAGCCTCTCCAACTTTAATTTTATTAATACGACCATAAAAATAAAAAAATCTGTTAAAATTTATTAAAAAATGATACTTTAAACATCATATCATATTTTTAGAGATTCACATACATAGCATCATAAACAATCTAATTTTCATAACAATCTTTTTTTTTCCTCTTTCGAAAACTTGAATAAACATAAACTTGAATAAACATAAATAACATAAAATTTACTCTTGCAATAGTACGGAGCAGCAAGGGCCTTCCAAGCTGCTCCGTACTATGGCAAGAGTAGCAAAGTTGCGCCATGAATCAATCCCACCCTTATATAGTGTGAGAGAAGATCTTGGTGAATTTCTAGAGACTTCCCAATCAATAAAATCAGCCAACCAAGGTGTTGTTCAGATTCAAGTAGGATTTAGTAAATCCTCTAAATCAAAATTTCACAAAATCATGTGCTTTTTGACAAGAAAGGTGTCAAATCATGTCTAATCAAATGAAATTGTTTGATGATGCAACTCGGAATTTAAGTCAACTAATTCACAGAAAACGCTAATCTAACTTAGTAAATCATGATAAGGTATACTGATTTCTCATACTGCATGTCTCCAAACCCTTGTAAATCCACTAACCTCTGAAATTTAATAAATCTAATATTAATTTATTTGGTAAATATTAATTACTAAACCTAATTTATTTGTATCTTATTTACATAATTGAATGTTACTAATTATATTTTATTCTTATCAATCCTAATTTGATCACCAAAGTAATAGTTGTTATAAATTAACATAATACTACGTTTTAATTTGAGTAGATATTAAATTAAATATATGAAGTGTAATATTAATAGTAATAGATCTAGCTGAATGTTTGTGACTTTGGGCTATCAAGTCATAAATAATAGTACACATTTTAAATATCTTAGATCTATTATTCAGAATGATGTTGAAATAGATGAAAATATTATTAGCAAAATTCAAATTGGACGAAAGTGGAGGAAAGCATCAAGCTTGTTCTGTGATAGAAAAATCAAACAAAAAGTAATTTAATTAAAATTGAAATTGCTAGTGTGTGTGATAATGTGTGTGTGTGTATATCAATGCTACCACATTTAAAAGCAACATCCCACACAAAAACTTCAAAAGACCATTGAAAAAGTTATCCCAACCATCATTAACTCTCCAAGATAGCATAAGCATCATTTTTAAAGAGATTCTCCTCGTATAAAAATTAAAAAACTCTAACAGCCTTGGAGACTCTATAATGTCGTGTTTACAATCATTCCCTCTTACAAAACCAATAGATGAAGAAAACAATGATAAAACCCAAAAGGTAAAATCAAAGAAAAGAAAATAAAATATAGAAATAACAATTTAGGAGCAAAGGCAGAGACTGTGCCTCGAAGAACATTGTAAGCAAATTCCAGGGATAAACTAAAACGGCAAGGGTCACTCATGCTAAGTAATCTACTTAACTATTGCCATTGGATTTGCTTCAAGAGCTAGGGTTAACTTCCCTGTTACCGCCATAACTTTTTTTTTTTCACATCATTAAACGGATGCCTTCCGATGACCCGGTTAGGAAAGTTAAGGTATTATATTTGACTTAAGTTAATAAAGGCAGAGGTAGACCTAAAAAGACATGGTTAGAAAATATTAAAAAATATCTTAAGAAATGGGCTCAGATTCACCTTTGTTCAATCAACAAGCAGATCCAACCATCAATTCCCTACCAGAGTAATAAGGACGTGGTTGCCCATAGATGCACGGGCCATCCAAGCTATTCCATCGCCATTGGATAAGAATATTTGCTGAGATCTCATAAAATTTGGGTGAGAAATGTTGAGGTGAGGATACCAAGTAGTAGAAAGATGACGAAGAAAAGCATCTTAAATCATACATAAAAATTTTTTATCAATAAATATAATAAGTATATCCTCCTTGCTCTCAATATACATCTCCATCAAACATCTTAACAAATGTATAGCTTCCATAGTATACCTACCCAGCATGAATCCAAATTACTTTTGAGAAATATTGGTATCATGTAATAAGCCATGCTCAAAAAAACTGCTTTAAGGAGCAGTAAAAAGCCATCTCAAACGAAGTCGTGCTCTCTCCCATAATTTTAATGTGACACATTAGCTTAATTCATCTATAATTCACATACTCTTGGGCACCACCTTTATACTTAAAATTAAGAACCAACACACTCTTCCTCCATTTATCTGGCAACTTTTTATTCATCAAAATAATATTAAAAAACTTAGTCATCTCAAAAATTCCTTGATCTCTTAGGCATTTCCACATCTCAATTGAAATATCAATAGGACACAATGCTTTTCCACACTTCATTTTCTTGAAAGCCTTTCGAACTTCAAGCATATTCCGAGGCAAATTTTGAAAGGGCATATTAACTACCCAAAAATTTCGTCCTCATTTTACAAGGTATTTATGATTTGAGTTCTGATTTCCCATAGGTGCAAGCCCCTATAATTAATTACCTCTCCCGATAACTAGAGAGAACTTTCGATTAACGCTCA